TCTCCTTTTTCAAGACCAAATGCTATGCTGACTCCCTCATACTGTGTGAAACTTCCAGGTAATTCTTTGAATGTAATAAAGTCACTGCATTATTTATTGCCTAATTACAAATACCATGTTCTTTACTATATATTTTAATAATTAGTTGCCTGTGTCCTTCTCCTGCCCCCCCCATCCTTCATGTTACTTTAGGGTGAATATGGAAATTATTTTATGTATGAAACTACAAGATTAAACTTTTTACTTATGAATTTGTTGTAAATATCTGATATTTTTATGAAATACATTTGTTGCAGAAGTTTATACATCCTAGCATTTAATATTTTGAAATTTTGTTAAATTGTATATTGTTGACATACAAAAATGACTGATAGTGTTGATAAACATTTAAAACAACATATTGTAATTCTATCTGGTCAGAAGAAAGTGGAAGAATATACATAAAAGTGTTAAAAGTCAGGATTTTATGCATTTTTGTGTACTCTAACTTTTTTCAGTGAGCTTATTAACTTTACTGATTATCTTTAAAAGTATTTTCATTATAAATAAAGTAGATGATATTAAGTATGAAATACTTAAGAGAGTCAGGCAGGTGAGGTGAATTCAAGAGGTCAAGTAGATGATAAATGGTAACGGCTAACATGTAATAGTGGAAACTAGGTCGAACTGGAACATATATACCTCATCTAAAGGGGCACACTATGCTGATTACTGTACAGGATTGGGGCATGTTGCTACATATGGTGATTTTTTTTTAAAAGAAAAATTTATATCTGCATTTTATAAAACAGCTGCAACTCATTTAGATTAAACAACTTTGCAGTGAACAGTTCACCTGCAGACTACTGCTCTGAAAGCTGTCTTTATGTACTATCTTTAGGAAATTTATGACTTATTTTATTGAAAATTGCATAGACTTGAAAATTGCATAGGCTTGACTTTTTTCCCTGATTTTTGATATCTCTCAGTATTTTCTCTTTACTCTTTCTTGAAAAAAAAAAGAAAGAAAAATTGACCAGATATTTGTCTTGTGTTTGATTTTAGATATTGTAATACCAGGAAATAATAGAGGAAATACTGTGTCCTGTTTCTGACTAGATAAAATTTGATTTCAGTAATGTTAGAGACATAGCATTGAGCCATCTTTTGTGTCACCATTGTTCTTCATTAGCTACTAATATTAGAATATTTACATACTCAAGGTATTTGTACAGTGCTTTTAATAATAATATGCTGTCTTTCATCTTTCTTAAACTTAAGGCATATTTGATTTGTTATTTCAAGCAACCATTTAAGTCTATTTCTATGAAAAGTACAGTATCCCCACATGGTATAACCTAAATATATATTATAACCACACACAGACATGTACATTATAATCTTAGAAAATTATATGTACATTTTCTATTCTATTATGAATTTTTTATTTATAACAGCAGTTATGTTTGTTAAAGAAAGTAGAAAGAAGTACAGTGAGGCAAAAACACTCTCCAGTCTTAAAACCAAACACCGTAGTGATTATTTCCTTTCAATCTTCTTTTTTTTTTTGGCTGCGTTGGGTCTTCCTTGCTGTGCACGGGCTTTTCTCTAGTTGCAGCGAGTGGGGGCTACCCTTTGATGTGCTGCGCAGGCTTCTCATTGCGGTGGCTTCTCTTGTTGCAGAGCACAGGCTCTGGGTGCGCGGGCTTCAGTAGTTGTGGCTCATGGCCTCTAGAGCTTAGGCTCAGTAGTTGTGGTTCACGGGCTTAGTTGTTCCACAGCATGTGAGATCTTCCTGGACCAGAGCTCGAACCCATGTCACCTGCATTGGCAGGCAGATTCTTAACCGCTGCGCCGCCAGGGAAGTCCTCCTTTCAATCTTTTTTTTTCTTTTTGTAAATCTTTGAATTTCAGGGTTAGGAGTAGTTTATGTGATTATAATAATATTGCATATACTGTTTTGTATCTTGATTATTTTTAACAAATTATGAGCATTTTCCAAATTATTAATCTTTGTAAGCATTGCTTCCATAACTATGATATTTTGTTCAACTAGAGACTATAATGTAACCATTCGTCATAATATTGAATAGATTACTTGTGATAGTATATTACTGAAAGGAGCACTAAGATGGCCAACTCTATACATGAAGGCTTTCTAAATTTAAGATAGTTCCTTACAGTAGATTCCTAGCAATTGGATTTTTTAAGGTATAAACCAGTTTAAGGTATAAAAACTTAAGAGGTTCACATATGTTTCCAGAGGAGTTGCTTACTGTATTGGGAATTATTCTTTTAAAATATCTTTGCTATTTTAATAGGCAGAAAATTATCTCATTATATTAGTATTTCTTTAAAAATATTTTTCCTGCTTATAAAATTAGTACCTGTTTGTTGAAGAAAATTTGGAAAACAGAAATACATAAAAATTACCCTTAAATTCATAGCTCAGGTATTAATCAATGTTAATATTTTGGTGTAAATCCTTTTTTTTTTTTTTAAGATGTAATTGACATATAACTTTATATTTGTTTCAGATGTACAGCATGCTCACTTATTAAATGTATACATTGCAAAATGATCACAGTAAGTCTAGTTAACATTCTTCACCTCACATACTTAACAAAATTTTTTTTCTTGTGATGAGAAGATTGTCTATTTAGCAACTTTCAAATATGCAGCACGATATTACTAGCCATGCTGTACATTACATTCTCAGTACTTTATATGTTCAGGTTTTGGATTTTTTTTAAGATTCCATGTGTAAGTGAGATTGTACAGTATTTGTCTTTCTCTGTCTGACTTATTTCACTTAACATAATGCCCCCAAGGCCCATCCAGGTTGTCAAAAGTGGGAGGATTTTTTCTTTTTTGTGACTGAATAATATTCCCTCTGTGTATATGTGTGTGACACATTTGGAGTTTGTTTTCAAGAACATAGTAAATGGGAAATCAACTATAACTGTAAACAATTCAATATGTTTTGGGCAGTGCTATCTATACTATACTCATGTTGTAAGAATAAAAATCTCTACCTGAGATATGTGGCTAAACAAATAACTTTAGAAGTTTTTTTTTGGAGGAAAATAAATAAATCACTAAACTTCCTCTTCTCTTCTTCTACCCTCAAAAGTAGAGAATTTAAGAAGGCCTGTAAAAGTTATTTAGAAGATAAAAGATAATCAGGGACTAAGTAGTAATTTAATATTTTTCTTTAAGATAGGATAGTTTCCTCAGATTTATGGATTCAGTGTATTCTCAACTTCAAATGTGCATGAGTTGAAATTCTATACAAATAAAAACTTAATGCAACAAACTTGGCAAGATTTTAAAATTACTAAGTTTTGTTTTCTTTTATTGTTTTCAGGAAGTCTATGTCTGTAGTCTCCTGGAGGATTGAAAGGCATCGTTTTTGCTTTATTTCATGTGAAACAAATTTTTAGTATATATATTGTATCTTTTAGAAATAAAAAATGGAGGAAGTTGTGAGAAAATGGTATTTCCCCCCCTTTCCATGCAATAAAGAATAAATACATAGAATTTGTATTTTTCAAATTGTTGGTAATTTGGGCAGTCTTCCATGCTTTTATTGTTGAGTATTCTGACTTGTGGTTTGTGGTATGTGTAAAATTGATAGGAATGGTGGTAGTTATATGAATCTTTATGTGTGATAAAATTTTGTAGAACTAAATCATACACAAATGAGTACAGGTAGAACTGGGGAAATGTGAAGTGTATAAGCATTGTTATGCTTTTATGCTACAGTTGTGCTACTGTACCATAGTTTTGTAAAATGTTACCATTGGGGAAACATGTATCTATGTATTATTTCCTATAACTGAATCTAAAATTGTCTCAATAAAAATTTCACTGGATTTAAAATATCATTCACTGTTTACTGAGCTACCAGCCTAGATACTATAATTTTCAGAAACGCATAAACATTTCAGTTAGTCTCTGTTCTAAACAGATGAAACTTATTTTTATAGTGTGCCATTTTGGATGCTATTTTGTTTCTTCTGCTTTTCACCTTAACCTGTCATTCTCCACCAAGTATTACAATTCACACATTCTAAGTCCTTAAAATAAACGCCTTTCAAAAGAATGTCTTGGGGCTTCCCTGGTGGCGCAGTGGTTGAGTCCGCCTGCCAAGGCAGGTGACACGGGTTTGTGCCCCGGTCCGGGAAGATCCCACATGCTGCGGAGCGGCTGGGCCCGTGAGCCATGGCCGCTGAGCCTGCGTGTCCGGAGCCTGTGCTCCGCAACGGGAGAGGCCACAACAGTGAGAGGCCCGTGTACCGCAAAAAAAAAAAAAAAAAAAAAAAAAAAAAGTCTTAACTAATAGCCATCTGCTACGTAGATAAAACTTGCATAGAGTATCTCACTTACTGATATTTTTTGTGTCTACACTAGCATATCAGTAAAGGCTATTGTTTATGATCAAAAAATAGCTTTATATGTAAAATGTAATGTATTTTTACTCAGAATGTAAATCTACCATATATTACTATTACTAAAGTATCCCACTTTCTTTCTTCCTTGGGGAATTATTTTTGGCATTTTGGGGGAATTTGAATGTTTTTCTTTTAAAAAGCCCACCATTTTAATCAAAATTTATTTTGTTTTCTAGGCGCAAAAAAGATTGGATCAGCTTGTCCTTGATTTTTCTCTATTTAAAGGTAATCTGCCTGCTTAGTTCACTAATCATACAGACTTAATACAATTTTCTGTTTGAGGTAGCAATCTATATTTGGTTGTTAAAATAGAAATTGTGTTATATAATGGCTAGACCTATAATGTCTTTTCTGATTGCCTCACAAGATGCAATCTAATCTCTCAAAGAAAAGAATAATTCATGTGATTTATGTCATGGAAATAAATAATAAAATAAATTCAGACTACATTTTTCATTTATGCTCCACAGAGTTTTGTTTTGTTTTCAGAAATGTATGAAAAATCTTTGCTGTTTTCGTCTGTTTGCCTGAAACTGTATTTTACTCATAGATTGAAGTATTGAAGCCATGGGAATAAAGGTTCAGCGTCCTCGATGTTTTTTTGACATCGCCATTAATAATCAACCTGGTAAGGAAATTAATGTCCCTATTTAACATTTATATATAAGTACTTAATATTTTAAGTTAGTAAAGAAATTTAAACCAACTACCTTCTTTTTTAGCTGGAAGAGTTGTCTTTGAATTATTTTCTGATGTGTGCCCCAAAACATGCGAGAACTTTCGTTGTCTTTGTACAGGTTTGTTGACATTTTCACTTGCCCTAATAGTAGTCCCATTTGATTTCAGTTTGCTTTGATTTTTTATTTAACATGTTTTAGATTTTTTCAGGCATATTATTTCCTTCTCAGCATGCTGACTATGCAACATTTACTAGACATGAAAGTAATTCTTATACATATTGTAATGGGATTGTATCTGAGATTGATTTCTACACTCGGTAGAAAAGCATGGGTGCTTTTTAAATGAATTTTTAAAAAATTCCTGAGGGAAGTTAAAATTCTGTAGTTTAAAGAAGTCTGTATAGGTGAAGAGAGGTGTATTTTACTGGGCAAAAGCTTTCATCATTAATTTTTTTTAACTTTTAAATGTTTTATTTATTTTATTTAAATTTTTCTTCTAGTTTTATGGATGTAATTGACATATACTGCTGTATAAGTTTAAGGTGTACAGCATAATGATTTGATTTATTTGCATTATAAAGTGATTATCACAGAAAGTTTAGTGAGCATCCATAATCTCATATAGATACCAAATTAAAGAAGTAGTGAAAAAATTTTTTCTTGTGATTTCATCATGAATTTTGCTTTAATACTACTTCCTTAATTTCTTTTCTACTTAACAGCCTCTACTAATTTTTCTTCTTTGTAGGTGAAAAGGGGACAGGGAAATCAACTCAGAAGCCATTACATTATAAAAGTTGTCTCTTTCACAGAGTTGTCAAAGATTTTATGGTTCAAGGTGGTGACTTCAGTGAAGGTAAGACTTTGATTCCCACAAAGAAAATCATATATTTATATTCTTTGTTAAATACATGGATCTCAAAGTTAGACAAGTCTCTAGAAGTACTAGGCCAGTTTTCTTCTCAGCCCACTTAATCTTCGGTCAGACAATTAGAAGTACTGGGAATTCCCTGGTGGTCCAGTGGTTGGGACACGGAGCTTTCACTGCCGAGGGCCTGGGTTCAGTCCCTGGTTGGGGAACTGAGATCCTGCAAGCCGCCTGGCGTGGCCAAAAAAAAAAAAAGTGGAAAATAAATAATATTGCTGGATGTGAATTATGCTTGGAGGGGGGAAAAAAATCCCCTACCTCGTAGGAAAAAAAAAAAAATACACATGCGGTGACATTTTAGCCTGCAGTTTTACGCAGCTGCCTCAGCATAAGTCCCCTGTGAATCATTTACTGTCTGCTCATTAGACTGTGGTCCTCACAGGGGTGATCTTGGCAGGAAAACGCTCACGTAGACCCTGCCAGACCAGGCCTGTGAACCCGCTCCCTCTCCTCGCCCGCCCCCCCACCCCCAGCCCCCTTGAGGAAAACACACTCAGGCTGCCCAGCTTGTTCTCCTCCAGTTTCTTAAACAAACTGTCTGTTTTATGCTTGTTTATTGGCCTCCAGACAAGCACCAAAAAGCCAGCCCTGTGGGCAAGAGGAAGGAAGACCCAGTTAACTGACTCAGTCTCACCTTCCACCCCCTCAGGGTAACAGCTTCTGTTTTATGAGAGGAGACTGTTGACCTTTTTAGACAGAGTACATGCTGCTGCCAGATTTCATCAGTTCTGCTCCTATTTCTAATTAAAGCCATGGGGGCAGGGGGAAATCTATTTCCCTTAGCAAAAAACTAAAAAAAAAAATTTTTTATTAACTGGGGCCATGAGCAAATAATTGAAATTGCTGATCAGAAATGTCTCTGCTGATGAGGGTGGGTTGGCAGGTTCGGGGGGAGGCGTCTTCTCTGTGAAATGTGATTGCACACATCTGGCATGAGGGAAAAGGACTTCTTTTAAAGAAACATCATTGTATCATTCCTCTCAGGAAACTTTCCTGTCTGGGGTGCACAGTATGTTCCACCCAGATGGGAAAGCATGGCATTAGCACTGGGCCCCGGCTTCCTCATCAGGAGGGAATTGGACGAGGGGAGGGGCCAGCACTTGCCTCCATCCCTAAAGTGCCCCAGTCCCGGCCTGGGAATTACCAGCCCCTGCCTTGCTGTGGGGGAGGCCACTGGCTGGCAGGTTCGCATAAGGCTTACCTGTCCCCAAGTTGATTGTAATGGGATTGTATCTGAGATTGATTTCTACACTCGGTAGAAAAGCATGGGTGCTTTTTAAATGAATTTTTAAAAAATTCCTGAGGGAAGTTAAAATTCTGTAGTTTAAAGAAGTCTGTATAGGTGAAGAGAGGTGTATTTTACTGGGCAAAAGCTTTCATCATTAATTTTTTTTAACTTTTAAATGTTTTATTTATTTTATTTAAATTTTTCTTCTAGTTTTATGGATGTAATTGACATATACTGCTGTATAAGTTTAAGGTGTACAGCATAATGATTTGATTTATTTGCATTATAAAGTGATTATCACAGAAAGTTTAGTGAGCATCCATAATCTCATATAGATACCAAATTAAAGAAGTAGTGAAAAAATTTTTTCTTGTGATTTCATCATGAATTTTGCTTTAATACTACTTCCTTAATTTCTTTTCTACTTAACAGCCTCTACTAATTTTTCTTCTTTGTAGGTGAAAAGGGGACAGGGAAATCAACTCAGAAGCCATTACATTATAAAAGTTGTCTCTTTCACAGAGTTGTCAAAGATTTTATGGTTCAAGGTGGTGACTTCAGTGAAGGTAAGACTTTGATTCCCACAAAGAAAATCATATATTTATATTCTTTGTTAAATACATGGATCTCAAAGTTAGACAAGTCTCTAGAAGTACTAGGCCAGTTTTCTTCTCAGCCCACTTAATCTTCGGTCAGACAATTAGAAGTACTGGGAATTCCCTGGTGGTCCAGTGGTTGGGACACGGAGCTTTCACTGCCGAGGGCCTGGGTTCAGTCCCTGGTTGGGGAACTGAGATCCTGCAAGCCGCCTGGCGTGGCCAAAAAAAAAAAAAATTAGAAGTACTCATAGAAATAGATAAAAAGGAGGAAACACATAGGAAAAATTTCATGTTTGATACATGAATTAATTTCAGAAATTTGCTTCTGGATTAAAAACAAAACACTATTCATCTCTTCGTAGCCTATCAGTGTTCATGTTTGATTTTGTCACAGCCAGTAATCCTTTACTACAGTATGGTTTTTACCTCTATTCCTGTAAAAACTTTGAAACTGTGGTTTTGTTTTTTTTTTGCGGTACGCGGGCCTCTCACTGCTGTGGCCTCTCCCATTGCGGAGCACAGGCTCCGGATGTGCAGGCCCAGCGGCCATGGCTCACGGGCCCAGCAGCTTCACGGCATGTGGGATCTTCCCAGACCGGGGCACGAACCCGTGTCCCCCGCATCGGCAGGCAGACTCTCAACTACTGCGCCACCAGGGAAGCCCTGAAACTGTGTTTTTAAAGACACTTTGAGAAGCTGTTAGTAATTTCTGTTAAAAGACCTACATAATCATTAGGATCTGAACATTCTTTCTTCTACAGATCTTAATAAGCTTTGTTACACTCATGCTGTTGTATCATAGAGGAGAGAAAGTAATTTGGGATCTGACTTGTCAGTATTGACTTTAAGTTAAGCTCTTATAATTTGCTGTGAACGTTTGAGTATTGTTGATTCAGAGTCATTCAAGTAGCTACTTTGTAAGAAGCATTGTGTTTAGGTAGGACCTTCAAGGAGATTACTGACTTATCAGTTCTAAGAGTCCCATGTTTTTTCATTCTTAGGAAATGGACGAGGAGGGGAATCCATTTATGGAGGATTTTTTGAAGGTAAAAATGTTTATGTTTAAATTGTTTTTAATGTTTTCTAGTATTCATTTGATTTTTCTCTGTTGAATCAATAAGATTATTGATATACTAATATCCAACTACCTTCAACTAAACGAAGTTAATTTTCTTGTGAAAAATTTTATGTGATAGACTATTTATAAAGGTAGAATTTTTTTGTGATTAGTACATTCGTACATTATATTACTTGAAGGGTTTCAGTGATCTGTAATAAACTTTTAGAATTGTAGTGCTAGAATAGGAACTTCCATAGCTTGATCTTAATCTTTATTAAAAGAGATTCAGCTATATTTCTTAGTGACAAATCAGTATTTTTGTGCATTCATTTTTCTATGAAAATTTTTTTTTAATCTTTGATATTCTGAATTTGGCTGTAATGTTTTTCCCAAATTTAAGTTTTCTGTCTGGAATTTTTTATTAATGTGAAGATCATTTGAAAGACTATAAACGTGATTGTGGAATTAATTTCATATTTCCCATCTTTCACTTTTGGGAGTCAGTGAAATTTTGTTTCATGTTCCACCTGCTTTTTTCCAATTCTAATCCAAGATTCGAAGGCAATCTGCTCTTTCTACCATGGCAGATATTAAGTTTAATGAGTGCCTCTCTGTGCTAAGAATAATATTGAAAGGGGGTTGATAAAGTATTTGGATTTTATAGCAAGGGATTGAAAATAAGAAATATTTTAATCTGAAAAGATGGAGGAAATTGGTTAATATTGGATTTCTCTTCTTTTAACCTTTTATCTAAATTTTGTCTGACACTAAAGAGCACATGATATGAACACAAGATATGAAAAGGAATGATAATGAATTTTGGGGGGGAGTTATACCTATAACTGAAAACTTTGCTTCTCTATAGATGAGAGTTTTGCTGTTAAACACAACAAAGAATTTCTCTTGTCAATGGCCAACAGAGGGAAGGATACAAATGGCTCACAGTTCTTCATGTAAGAATTTATGATCTGATGATTTAAAATACCACTTTTTTGGTGTGTCATTTCTCTGTGTGCCTGCTACTGATCACTAATAAATAGGAGAGGGACGTATGAGGGAGAGAATTTTTGAAGGAGGAAGAACAAAGAATTGTTGAAAGGGGAGTTTAACTGTACTGCTAAAGTTTTCAAAAGATGAAGACTTTTGTCAAGAGGACTCAGGAGCCAGCTTGAAGGGGTGGCATTCCGCCTGGCCAAATTAGGGCAAGTTGAGCATTGATTATCTTGAAAATAAATAATGATGGTATCATATTATCAAATAAAATGGAAATCCAGGAGTCCATTCAGATATAAATAATAAATGAATAAAAAGGGAGAAAGAAAAACTGTTCCTTAGTAGAATGCAACTAATAAATGTAAAAGGAATTATAGAGTTAGAAATGTCCCTGTTTTGCAGTCATCTCAGTAACATTGATTCAGGAAAGAATTACCTATGGATGGTAAATTTATAGGGTATGTTTAACAAGGAAAGGATGTTTGCATTGAGTATCTCTTCATAAATTACTTAATTATAAAGAGTAAAATACAGTTGTTCCTCATTATTCAAAGATTCTGTATTTGTGAATTTGCCTACTCACTAAATTTATTTGTAACCCAAAGTCAATAGTGCTAATGTTTTCCAATTCTGACTACAAAAAAATTGTTACAGGGCTCTTGTCAGCAATTCATACTTTTTATCATGTCCCATGGGTAAAGATTTGCTCTCCTCTTCAATAACTGTAAACTCTTCTGGTCTCAGAAGAACTTAATCTGTCAGCATCATGTGAATTATTCTTGTGTTTTCTATTCCACATTTGTAATTCCCTTCTTCAACAGTGAGAAATCTCCCTCTGAGTGTGTTCAGAATTTCTACTCATTTGTTGAATCCTATATTTAAAAATTGCCATCCTGTACCACTGTGAAGAGTAACCTACTAACTAGAGTTCACTATTTATTTAGCAATTTTTGTTTTTACAGTGAGGGTATGTAGTTAAATTATCATGTTTAAAAATGACTTGGATTAGTACTTTTTAGTGTAAATTTTGTGTGGTTTTGTGACTCAAAATATGTTAAATTCATTTCCGATTATATTTCATTTGTTCTCCCTCTCAGGTTGATTTATTTCTTGCCTTTTTTTTTTTAAGCTTTTAAAACATTCACATGATTCCAAGAGTCAAAGCAAAGAGACTACTTCTGAAGTATCTCTCCCACCTAACTCTTCATTCCATTCCCATTCCCCCATTTTTTTACCTTTTTTTTCCCACCACCTATCCATATTAGTAACCAACCTCTTTAGTTTCTGGTTTATTTTTCTGTATATCTTTTTACAAACATAAGCACATATATATATTTTTTTCTTTTTTTCCCTTTTTTCTTACACAATAGATAGCTTACTGTATATGTTTTTTTCTTTTCACTTAATGATATAACCTAGAAGTCACTCCATATCAGTTCATAGAGATCTTTCTCATTTTTTTTCCCCACAGATGCATAGTAGTCTGTTGTGTGTATATACTGCAGTTTATTCAGCCAATTGCCTATATACAGGTGTTTCTGATTTTTTAAATGAAAACAACTTATATCACATTTGTTGTACGAAAATTAGAACACACAGATTAAAAGAAGAAAAACAATCCTATCCCCAGAGCATCTTTACATGCAATAAAAATACAGGTAGATAGTTGCATATAGTCTGTAATCAACTTTTGGATGTAATATAAATTTCTTTGTACATCACTAAATATGAATTAACATGTTAATCCATTGTTTGAATGTACTGTGGTTTTATTTATTTAATCTTAGTTTTGAACATTTGGTTTGCTTCTTGTTTTCAAACTGCTACAGTGAACGTTGTTGTATCTATTGTTTGACGTATTTTTTAATTCTTTTATGTAAGTTGCTAGAAGTTTACTTAGTGAAATGTTTACATATTTTTAAGGCTATCCATATATATTGCTACATTGACTTCCGAAAGGAAGTGTGTAGTTTACTCCAGAGCAACAGTATGTAAGTGCCAGTTTCACCAGATCCTCAGCAACACTGAATGTTATCATTTATTTTCACTTTTTAAAATAAAATTCCTCCTGTGCTTACCAAAACCCATATGTTAAATTCAAATAACCCTTCATGTATATTCTCAGACTCTTCCAGTTGTTGGTTTCTCCTGACCTCTTTCCACTTCTAGATAACTATTTTTACTAGTTTATTTTACTGTGTTCTGTTTTTTTTTAAAGGAAACAACTTCAGTTTTTAATCTTTTTTAAATGTTTTATTTTATTGTTTTATATTAATTATATAATATAAAATTTGCCATTTTAACCATTTGTTAACTGCCTAACTCACTGGTATTAATTATATTCACAGTGCTCTGCAGCTACCACCACTATTTCCAAAACTATTTCATCATTCCAGAGAGTAGCCATTTTCCCTTTCCCTCAGCCCCTGGTAACCTTTATTCTACTTTCTGTCTCTATGAATTTGCCTATTCTATATATGTAAGTGGAATCATAGAATATTTGTCCTTTTGTGTCTAACTTATTTCACTTAGCATGTTTTCAAGGTTCATCCATGTTTTATAGCATGTATCAGAACTTCATTCCTTTTTATGATTGGATATCATTCCATTATCTATACATACCACATTTTGTTTATCCATATTCATTTGTTAGTGGGCATTTGGGTTGTTTTCACTTTTTGGCTATTGTGAATAATGCTGCAGTGAACATTGTCATATATATTTGTTTCCCTGTTTTCAGTTCTTTTGGATAGGTACCTAGGAATAGAATTTCTGGATCATATGGTAGTTCTATGGTTAGCTCTTTGAGGAACCATCAAACTGTTTTCCACAATGGCTACATCATTTCACATTCCCACCAGCATTATACAAAGAGTTCTAGTTTTTCCATTCTTATCAACACTTTTTCACCAATCTGAGAGTGACCATGAAAGCAATGCAAGTATTGGTTTAGGGGTTACAGATAAATTCTAGTGAGCAAGCCAGTGGACAAATACATAATCTGTAAAGTGAGGATTGACTGTATCTTGATGCAAATTATATACACTAAATGTAACACAAATACATATATAGTGTATACCTAGGTTTTTACATTTCTAGGTGGTTTTAGCAAGTTCAGGTGATCATAGCTGTTACAGTGAGAAAACAATAACAAGTTATTTTTAAAATATGGTGAACTTTTAAAAATACATGTATGTGTTAGAATTTTTTTTAGTGTGTGTTTTAATCAAAAGTTAGCTTAAATTGTGTTCCTTCTTCCAAATTTCTAATGCCTTTTTTGATAAGATTTTTAAAATGACAAATCTTGTACAATGCCCATATTCAGTCTGTTGTACCAGTGTGTCTTCATAGCTACTCAGATAGCAGCTTTCTTAGCTACAAAGCTTTAAGGTTGATGTGGAGAAAAGAAGGATTTTTAAAAATTACTTTTTGCTAATTTTAGGTTTTGTCCAAATTTTAATGCAGATATCTTTCTTCAATGTGAAGTTTACTTTATGTTAGGGATAACAAACTCAAATACCCATAGGTCTTAGGCAAGTAGTATAAGGGAGTAAAGGCTGCTGGGACAAGAAACTTAATGATTAATCTCTGTATTAGAGAAGGCAGGGATACTCAGCCTGACCAGTTATTGCCACATGCCAGGTGCCATGTCTTTCCATGTTTTCAAAAAGGTCTGGAATCTGGATTTTTATATAGAAGTATCCAAATTTTTAAGTCTTGGCAGCTAATTTAAAAATTTATAAACACTACAGTGGACCATCTCTGTTCAGGTCCAACAGAACATGTATGAGGACATCAGAATATGACCTGGGCTTTAACTGTTGAAAATGTTAAGATTGAAAAACACTTGTTAAACCCATAAACTGGTGAAATGGTTTGATAAATTATGGTATGCCCAGACAGTAGAATACTGTACAACCATGGATATTCAATAGAACCCAGTTACATGCAAGAAACATGGATGGATAGAAATAACACCAAAATGTCAACTTTAATTTCATGTAAGTTTTCAACAGTGTATAGGTATTTCAGAACAAGTTTTTGAAAATGCATTGTTGAAAGCATCTTGCATTTGATTTGATTTAAGGTTAAGATAAATAATATTCTATTATGTTAAGATAGCATATATATGATTTCTTTGTTTGCTACTTTGTTTCCAATGCAGTTATTTTCTTTTCCTTTTTAGAGATGCTAACTTTGTTTTTCTCTGACTTTGTTTTTATTCTTCTATCCGATGACTTCCAAAAGAACAACAAAACCAACTCCTCATTTAGATGGGTAAAGATTATTTTAATTTATTTTACAACCTACTTTAAATTAATATTAAAATAAGAAGCTTTTATTTAGTCATCTTTACTTGACTCTTTAGGCATCATGTTGTTTTTGGGCAAGTGATTTCTGGTCAAGAAGTTGTGAGAGAGATAGAAAACCAGAAAACAGATGCAGCTAGCAAACCATTTGCTGAGGTGCGGATACTCAGTTGTGGAGAGCTAATTCCCAAATCTAAAGGTAAAAACAAGTATATATTTCTCTTTCTTAAAATCTATTTGTTTGTTTATTTATTTATTTGGCTGTGTTGCATCTTCGTTGCTGCGTGGGCTTTCTCTAGTTGCGGCTAGCAGGGGCTACTCTTTTTTTTTTTTTTAGATGTTGGGGGTAGGAATTTAGGATTTTATTTATTTATTTTTGCTGTGTTGGGTCTTCGTTTCTGTGCGAGGGCTTTCTCTAGTTGTGGCAAGCGGGGACCGCTCTTCATCGTGGTGCACAGGCCTCTCACTATCACGGCCTCTCTTGTTACAGAGCACAGGCTCCAGACGCGCAGGCTCAGTAGTTGTGGCTCACAGGCCTAGTTGCTCCG